TTTTTTTTTTTTTTTTTGCACAATAGAATACTACCCTACCATAAAGAAGAATAAGCTTGTGACATTTCTAGCTAAATGGATACACTTTAAAACCATACTTGTTTTTTGGTTTGTTGTTTTTTTTGAGACAGGGTCTCACTATGTTGTTCAGACTGACCTAGAATTCACTATGCAGCCCAGGCTTGTCTCGAACTAACAGCGATCCTCCTGCCTTAGTCTCCCAAGTGCTGGGATTACAGGCATGCGCCACCACGACCGGCCAAGACCATACTCTTAAGTGAGACAAATCAATACTGCAAGGTCTCTCAGGTGTGAGAAACCAAAAGTGGATATAAGAACCAAAATGTATAACAGATATGGGGAAATGGGACAAAAATGTTCAAATGAGATAGGGGAATAAAGGAGGGGGAGGGGGAAAGGAAAGAAGGTACAAGGAAAAGAAAAAGAATAAAAGGAAAAATGGAAATCAATTTTTTGTAAGTAAGAAGTGAAGAAGGATCAAGGTGGGGAAACAGGAAAAAGAAGCAAGATATATCACATACAGGTACAAATGCCCTATGATGAATGCTATCATGAGTATCTAAAATGTAGCAATAAAGGTTTTGGTTAAAAAAAAAAAAAAAAAGATTCAGTATATACTGGGACTGGTGGCGCAAGCCTGTAATCCCAGCACTCAGGAGGCTGATACAGGAGGATCACTTTGAGTTCCAGGCCAGCCTACAAAGTAAATTCAAGACCAGCCTGACTTATATAGCAAGAGCCAGCCTCCAAATAAATAAATAAATAAATAACCAACCAACCAACCACCAAAAAAGATTCAGTATAGCCCAGTGTGGTGGCATATGCCTATTATCCCAGCTGTTCCAGAAGCTGAGACAAGAGGATTCCAAGTTTGAGCCTAGGGGGCCACGGATTTTAGCTCAGTGGACCAGAGTTCTATCCCTGTAACCAAAAAAAAAAGTTTGAGTCCAGCCCAGACAACGCTGCAAGACTCTGATTCTGAAATTTAAAAATAAAAGGACTAGAGATGTAGCTCAGTGCTCCCTGGGTTCGATCCCCAGAACAACAACCACAACAACAACAAGTATAACTAAGTAAATCTAGTCAGGATCCAATTCAACCAGCATTGTGAGCTTCCTGGGAAAATGAAAAACAACAACATACCTGGGACAGAGGACATGGACTTGAGGATAAATTAAAGCTAAGTGTGAGCGGTAGGGTCCGACCCCCACCCCGCAAACAGGAGCCTGCTATATAGTTCAGGCTAGCCTTGAACTCACTATAGTCCTGGTGGTTGTAAATTCTCAGTGATCCTCCTGCCTCACTGAGTGCTGGGATTGTAGTTGTGCAGCACAATGTCCAGGGACTACCAACAAGAAATAGGATTTCAATAAGTGGAAACAACAGCCCAAGCAAAGGTATAAATAGGTGAGGATGGCTATCAAAATAGCGGGGAGCCTAGTAGAGGTGCACGGCCAGAAGGAGAGGAGATAAAGACAGAAAGTTGTATTTGGTTTCTTAGAAGACACATGTCTGGATCATCTGGATTTATGGATGATGGGAAGCTACTGCATACTTCTTTTTCTTCCTCTAGAAGGTGGATCAAGCCATTGATTCACTTTCTGAAACAGCGGTATTAAAATACCTGTCACTTCAATGTAAGCACATGCCTCGCACATAGAATGGCTTAATAAAATCCTGAAATTAATTACATAATTTACTTTCACAAATTATAGGAGTAATTTAGTTAAACATATTACCAATCTCATTACAGTGGCTTCTAATTTTCTCCAACCTGGAATTACACTGTGCTCAAAGATGACTGCACCTATCAGTAGCCGTCACGACCTGCAAGTTTCACCAATCAGATTCTTGGTGCTCTAGTATTTGACCATTTGATTTATAATCACTTCTTTCCCCTTTTTAAAGTCCATTTAACTCAGCAGTTAATCTTATGGTCACTGTACTGTCATGGCTTTATGTCTTCTCTATCTCTACTTCACTGAGGCAACTCTTATCCAGTAGGAGTCCTTAATTACGGTAGGTTTTTATTTTTATTTTTTTGTGGCGCTGGGACAGAACCCAGGGCCTTATGCATGCTAGCCATTCTACCACTGAGTTACAAACACCCCTCAGTAAAAAAAAAAAAATCTCATCTTGAAAAGTCTACATCAATGCTTATTAACTAGGTATTTTAAGAAAGAAACTTGGCAGCAAAATATCTTTTAAGAAATTCTAGAACAGGGTTGTAGCTCAGTGGTAGAACGACTGCCTAGCGTTTGCCAGGCCTTTCAAAAATAAAAAATTTTGGCACGCTACCATCTCAAAAACAAGTAATTTTTTAAAATTCCAGATTATCTTTCAGCTCATATTTAGTATAATTTAAATAATCTTGTGAGAAAATACTCATTAAGGCAAAGCAAATAAAATAATTCATTTTACTTGGGAAAGAATGTTTGATGATCAGTGTCACTTGGGATTCTTAATTTTAAAATAAAGCCATCAGACTTAATACAAAAAATGTCTGAAAATGAACTAGTATAAAATTATGGTTAAGTGCCATTGTGCCTTGGTAATTAATCAAATTTATCTTTACCATATTAGTGCGTGGGAGGGGCAAACTTTCCTAAAAAATGTCCTAGTTTAAACCAATATATCTTTTTTCTTTGAAATAAATGTATAGTTAAAGAGGTGAGAAGTGTCTGAGTGCTTCAAACTTGGCATCAGAATATTAATACTGTAAATAGTTCTGATATTTCAACTAAAGATTTTTTGTTTCGAGAGGCTACAGCATTTTGATTTGGCAATTGTTCCAAAAGCTGCAATCCAAGTAGGACTTAACCTGCAGTTGTGAGATCTGCAGAAGAACCAGGAATCTCGAACGACGTGCAAACTTGTGTGTACGCGAATTTTCAGAGGTGGTGGGAGGAGACATGCCACGCTTGAGGCTATCTTCAGAGCCTCAAGCAAGCCTAGTATTGTGGCCCGCTAAATTGCCAAAAGAGAAAAAAAGCGTGCATCTGAACCACCGTTAAAATAGGCTTAAACAGGATTCTCTCATCCACTGTCCCAGATCCTGGCACCAACCATCCCTTAGGGATGCCTTGTTTTAGATCTAAATAAATGGTCCATCCCACACTCCCACCCCCAGTCTTCCACTGACCCCATCCATCCTCGACCCTCCTCCGCGATCTACGGGTTGTGCACGTACCTGGGTGCTGGCTCGATTAGGGTGGTGGTGTCCAGGTAGTGGATCTTGTAGAACTCCAGCAAGGCCGGCAAATGGTCAAATTCCTGGTCCCCGATCTTAAAACGGCGGTTGGGCAGGGAGTTAATGATGTAGTGGGAGACTCGCGAGTTCTCAGACACCGACAGCACATAGTCCCCGGGGCAGGTGGAGGAGTCGCGAACCAGGAACATGCCATGGCGCTGGCCTTGGAGACGAGTCTGCGCCTCTTGGCGAGACACCGGCCCCATGTACCAGGCGGAACGGTCCGAGGAGTCGAACCTGGCGGAGGACATGGTACTGGGTCCGGGCGGCGGCTGCTCTCGCCTGTTGTGGAAGCCTTGGCCGGGCAGGCTGCTCTGGAGCTGTGAAAGGGCCTCTAGGCACGGCGCGAGGCGCGCTTAGCGGGACGGACCAACACCTTCTTCTCGGCTCCGGGCCCGCAGCATCCTCCGCCGCCGCCCGTCTGCTCCGGGGTTACCTCACTGAGACAGCCGACCCGGGAAATTCAGGGCAGAGCCCAAGAGTCTTAGCGGGAGAAGCCGAGCCGCCGCGGAGGCCGCCCCGGGGACTTTAGGCTGCCCGGCGTACCAGGGTGGCTCCAATGACTCCCGGTCCGAAAAGTACTGACTCCGCAACCCCACGGATCTGCACCGATCCCTGCTGTCACACGAAGCTCCAGCCACGAAGGAACGTTGCGCCTCCGGGGCGGTTTCTCCCAACCGGCTCCCAATAGCCACAGCAACAAAATGGCGGACGCAGGACAAGCTGCCGGCCACCTCCCCCTGCGCTCAGCGTTCTCCGTGTGCGCACGCGCGGGGACCCGCTCCCAGAGGCCGCCTGGGTCCTCCCCGTGACGTTGGTCGCGCAGCCAATCAGGAGCTCGATCGTGACGCTCTGGGCTTGCGCCGCTAGTGCCTGCTCCCGCGTTCCGGGAGGAGGCTAAGGAGGCGGTGGCTTAGGGCACTCCCTTCCTGGGCCACAGTGTGCCACCGGGGGCGCTGCCGCCGCCTGGTCTCTCAGTGCTGCCAGGAAAACAGCTGGGGCTGAGAGGGAGAGTCATTTCGCAAACCTGCTTCTGGGAACAAAGCATAAAGTACAAGCTGGGAGGCGTGGCATTCAGGTGACCTGGCTATCCAAGGGAGACTGGAGGGCGGACACACAGGGCCAGAGTGGCTCTGGAAAGGGATGACCTTGGGGGCTGAGGTGACCACCAACAGTCCGTTGGACGGCTAGGTGACCCGAGGGGCAGGTGAAGAATGGGTTAACCAGAGTAAAAGGTATAGGAAGCCTGCAGCCTGGGATAATCTGGGCCAGTTTGGGTGCTGAATTGCTGCGGTAAAATGCAAACTATTTTCGCCCATCGGGCGTGGCGTTTGTCCGCTCTGGATTCTGCCTGCTTCTCCCAGTTAATGTTCTCCATTCCACCTTGTTTATTCAGCTAGGTCAGCCCTCCTCACCTATTTTCTCCTTCCTGCCCTCACTTGAATGTGAATTTTAAAATTTTATTTTGCTTATTATTTTTTTTTGCAGTACCAGGGATCGAACTCAGGATCTTACGCTTGTGAGGCAGGCGCGGCACCACTGAGCTAAATCCTTGACTCTTGAATGTGAATTATTAAGAAAGTGGGATCTTTGTATGTCTTGTTAATCTTTGTCTTCTCTGTCTTGCTCAGTGCATGCCTCTTTTTTTTTTTATAGGATGTTTTAAACAATTTAACTGAAATCCCATTTCTGACTTCCATTTATTTTGATATATCTTAAAACTAAAAGTAAATAAGGTTCAAATGGTACAATTGATAGTGTGAAATAGGAAGAAAACGGGCAAAGGGGAAGTGGGAAGGGGAGGGGAGGAAAGGGGAAAGGAAATAAGGGAAAAGAAAAACAGTGTGAAAAAAGGAAAACATGGACGCAAAGTCTTTGCCAATAGGGAAGGGTGAAGGGGGTCAAGGGAGGGCAGGGGCCTGGGGAAAAAATAAGAACCAAGACATATATATGTAAAGATCCCAGTGATAAATACAACTGCACTCTCTGCTTTAAATGTACTAATAAGCTTAATGGAAAAAATTTTTAAACAAAATATTTTGTTTGCTTGTTTGTTTGGGTTTTTTGAGACAGGGTCTCACTGTGTAGTTGAGACTAACCTGGAACTCACTATGTAGTCCAGGCTGGTCTCAACCTCACAGCGATCCTCCTGCCTCAGCCTCCCGAGTGCTGGGATTCAGCAAAAGAATAAAATATTTTGATACATCTTGCCCCCCACCTGATTTAGAAGATTTTCAAGCCAATATAAATATTTCATAACTATGTGGCCATTTGGGTGCATATCTGCACAATACCTCACATCTTTCAGCGAGAAAAACAGAAGAGTGAAGACCTGACACCATTAACTGGGTGTCATGAGAATCTGCTCCAAATGTTGTTTCTCTGAGGTAAAGGCCCCACACACCTGTTCAATTAAGAAAACCATCCTTACAGCAGAGGATGATTTTTATTTTTAAGTCGGGCTTAGGGCGCTCAGCCGCTAATGAGGAGCTGCAGGGCAGAGCTGCATCCCCAGCTCCCGCCGTGAATCCACAGGGAGCAGGTTCCACAGACTCAGGCTCCTTCCCATGGGTTCTCAGGAAGAGCGCTTCTCTGGGCGGGGCGGGCTGCGCTTCAGCTGAACCCAGGGCCCTTTCTCTTTGGCTTCCTTCTCTTTCTGATCATTTTCCTTGACACGTTTCAGAAGCTATCTCGACTCTTTGAGTGTTTAATATGCTCAGTGCGCACATTAATCCTCTGGGCAAGTGTCTTGCCCTTACCTGGCTTGTTCACAACAATGCCAGCAGCATGCTGGGTAACACTGTACACTCGAAGTTTTGCCATGGTAACATTTGTGTGATTCCTTTTCGAACAATACCCATTCCCTTGATGTCTACAGTATCACCCTTTTTGTAGATCCCAGGTATGCGGCCAAGGAACAGCCCCATGTTCTCTAAAAGGCCTAGAGAACATTTACTGGGTTCCCCTCCTCTTTCTATTTGTGTTTGTCATTTTGGCAAATTACTGGAAGATGGCAGTTCCCGGCCGAAAGGTTCAGTGTATGCCTCTTGAGTGGATTCTTAAATATTTGTTGAATGAATGGGCTTCTGTGAATAATCAAGCCACTAGCAGCTGATCATTGGTAATAATATACCCCAATTGGGTAGACAAGAAAGCATAACCCAGATCCCTCTGCCCATGGGATTTCATTTTGGCCTTTTGTATCCCCCAAGTTCAACAAATCCTAGGTGGTATGGTGATAGGTGATGTCTACCCTAGGGCAAGCTAAAGGGCATATGTGTACTCAGCATAACCATGTTTTCATCTTCTCTAGTGATGCTTTCATGTTGTATTAGTCTCAGGTGCAATTTGAATAGCACAGAATTTGAAACATACTGCCTGAGTTCAAATCCTGACTCAGGTGACTGGCTGGGTGACCTTGGGGGTAATAACTGCATTTACCTCCGAAGTAGAAATAAATATATAAAACAAGCTAATACATGTAAAATGCTTGGTATAGAGGCTGCCACATGCTAAGCAGTGTTATAAGAATTTTCCATTATTCATTCACTCTCAACCTGAGCCTTTAACTCCGTAGTTTAAAAGTGTGAGTAGATCTCTCTGTGAGTGGGTGAGGTTGGGGAGAAAATTTTCCACTTGATTTTCTAGCTTTTTTCATGGCTAGATTTAGCATTACATCATAATTCACTCCTTGTCCAGCCGGCTTGATCTGGCTTCTACCCTTGTTTTGACTAGGACTAACATTCTGAAGGTTGTTGGTGATCTTCATGGAAGATACTCTCTTTGATGTACCTAGCATATGTATTTAGAAAAATCTCTTTTCTGGGACCCCCCCCCACTGGTTTAGCGCCTGTAACACGTACATAGTTTTCTTTTACCTGTCCAAATATACCTTCTCATTCTCTTAGCACTTTTTTGCCATCTTTTTTTTGGGGGGGGGTACTGGGGATTGAACTTGGGACCTTGCACTTGCAAGGAAGGCAGCAGAACCACTGAGCTAAATCCCCAGCCCTTTATAGCACCTTTGTCTCTAGACTAGTAATAATTATGAACACTGTGTCACTTCTTTTGACTCAAAACACCTATGTTCTAAAAGTAGAATGAAAACTGACCATAGCCTGTGATTATTAGGCAAACTGTAGTTACAGCCTAAATTAATTCTTATCACAACCTGTTATAATTACCTAATAGTACCCCTCCTTTCCTAATCTGAGCATTTTGGAGACAGACTGTAGTGTTATTAATTTTTGTATTCTTACTTCCTGCCACAGTACCCAGCACATAATGAATGGGTTTTGAATGTAGGTGGCTAAAATGCGAAGAAGCCAGACAAAAGTGAAAATGTAGTTTAGGAAAAGTAAGGCAAGGCAGTAAGATGACTGTAATTGTTTTCAGTTAACATGTATATTTTTAAAAAATAGCCAGGCATGGTGGTCTATGCCTGTAATTGCACCACTTGGAAAACTGAGGCAGAAGGATTGCTACGAGTTAGAGCCCTGCCCAGGCCACAAAGTGAGTTCAATGCTGGTCTGAACTGTACAGTAAGACCTTGTCTCAAAAGCTAAAAAAAATTGAGCTGGGAAGTAGCTCAGTTGTGCCCACAACTGCCTGGCAAGTGAAGATCCTGAGTTCAAGTCTTGTTATAAAAAAATTTAAAAATATATAAGTAAAACATATTTGGAACTAAAGTTTATTAGCTCCCTAGTTCCCTTTCTCTTTAATCTTCCATTTGGATTACATTGTACATTTCAACTTCCCTTTTTCTATCAGTAGCATCACTATTTTCCTAATTTGTAAGCTAAAAAATTCAGTAATCTTTCACTTAAGAACTCAATAGTAATACCTAATTTACATGGTACTTTTCAACTCACAGAACTTTATAGAATCCATTGTTTTATTTAGCCAAAGTCCCATGAAGTATCACTTTTACAGGTAATCCAGAGGCTCAGACCTTTTTAAGTGGTTTCAGGTTATATAAATGTGCAAGAGGGAATTCCGGAAATCTTTAAATCTTTTGATTCGAGATCAAAGTCCTATATTTCACTCTGGCAACTGCCTATGATTTAGACCATTTTCTGTTTTGCAGATAGGAAAACATCTTTCAGAGTAACTTTTTACACTTGATCTTGGCTAGAAGGCTGAGAAGTGATCAAAGTAACTTTTTTTAGCTGGGCATGATGGCACATGTCTACTTTTTCAGTACTCTGGGAGTCTGAGGCAGGATGATCAAAAGTTCAAGCCCACCATGGGCAATTTAGTGACTTAGGGAGACTCTGTCTCAAAATTTTTAAGAAACTTTTTTTTTGAAACAGGGTCTTGCTTTATAATGTAGGCTGTCCTTGAATTCACTATGTAGCCCAGGCTGACCTCAAATGCAAACTCCTGGTCATCCTCTGGCACACACCTGTAATTCCAGCACTGAGGAGGCTGAGGCATGAGGATCATGGTGAATCAAGGCCAGCCTGGGCTACTTAGTGAGTTGAAGTCCAGCTTGCACTACAGAGCAAGAACTTGTCTCAAAAAATAAAAGAAAAGGCTGGGCATGGTGGCACATACCTGTAATCTCAGCATTCTGGGAGGCTGACACAGGAGAATCACAAATTTGAGCCTAGTATTGGCAATTTAGCAATTTAAATGTAATCCTGTCTTGAAAGGGGCAGAGAATGTAGCTTAGTGTGAAGGGCCTGGGTTCAATCCACACTACAGTAAATAAATGGGCTGGGGATGTAGCCCAGTATAAGGCAGACCCTAGGTTCAATAATCAGTACTGCAAAACAAACAAAATGACGAGAGGAAAGATGAGGTCCTACAAGGTAACTTTTTTAGCTGGGCATATTGGTACATGTTTACATTCCCAGTACAAAGAAAGTAACTTTGGTGGGGGGTGCTGAAGCTTGAACCTGTAGACTAAGCATACTCTCTATCGCTGACATATGCCTTCCTTTCTGTGTTACTTTTCTCTTGTTGCTAAGACAAAATACCTGACACCTAAAATTAAAAGGGAAATGTTTGTTTAGCTCATGTTTTGTAGAGGTTTGAGTCCGTAAGCTGGCTCCAAGGCAGGGTAGCACATGGCAGAGGGGCAGCAGTTCACTCTGGACCAAAGGTAGCAAAGCAACAAGGGAACCCTAACAGTATCTTTCTGCCCCTTTTATTTTATCTAGACTACTGGGATTAAGGTGGTGCCAAACCAATCAGTGTAGTAGTTTAGTAATCACACGCCCTTAATCCCAGCATCACACACTCTAGATTCAGCCACCATTGAAAAAGCCATCTATGATTGGATGAAGCTTTGAGGGAACATTAGACCTAAACCATAACAGTTTCATTCAAAGTAAAATTTAGTCACAGAAGGGAGTATTAGTCTTTTTTAGGGGGGTTAGAGGGGAGTGTTAGTCTTGAAATAGGATGGCTGTATTTATCTCACAGTTGACGTAGATTTCAGGTGATACCACCATTCTACTGCCAAAATGCCTATTTCCTCCTTTAAGATTTCTTACAGATAGACTAAAATACCTCTCTGGAACCGTCCAGAGGGAAATAGGATGTAGGGTAAAACAAGAATGGTCATGTGCCCAGGTATGGTGGCACATGCCTGCAATCCCAACACTCAGGAGGCTAAGGCAGGAGGATCACCTCAAGTTTCCAGGCCAACCTGAACTACATAGTGAGTTCAGGGCCAGCTTGAACTACAAAGCAAGACCCTGCCTCAAACCTACTCCCTCAAAAAAGAAAAAAAAAAAAAAGAGAATGGGTTGTTGATATTGTTAAAGCTGGGTTGCGCGCGCGCGTGTGTGTGTGTGTGTGTGTGAATTATATTCTATTTTGGGGCGTACTGGGAATCGAACTCAGGACCTCACACTTGTGAGGTAGGCACATTGCCACTGAGCTAAATTTCCAGCCCTAATTATATTCTATTTTTATGTTTGGAATTTTTTCCCCATTTAATTTATTTGTACATTTAAAGCAAATAATACAGTTACATTTATCATTGGGATCTTGTACCTTTACATGATATGTCTTGGGTCTTGTTTTTTCCCATACCCTTTGCCATGCCTCACCCCCTTCACCCTTCCCTATTTACAAAGACTTTGTTTCCATTTTTTACTTTTTCACACCAGAGAAACTATTTGGTATTTACTCAAGTGTGTACTATTTGTTTGATTTTTTTTATAATAAAAATTTAAAGTAATAATCTCCTACTTGTCATAATAGTACATGCTGGTTTTTCTAAGTTTTAAAAATTTTTTATGAGTACATGTTTGGAGTACATGTAGTTTACGATCACCTTGGGGAGTGGGTGGAGTACATGTAGTTTACAATCACCTTGGGGAGTGGGTACATGTACATACTACAGCTAGTTTTTTTTTTTTTAATCCTTTTCCTTCCCTCCCCCGGGTATGTGCTATTAATCCCAACATTCTGGGAGGCTGAGGGAGAAAGATCGCAAGTTCAAGCCCAACCAGGTCAAAAGCCCTGGGTTTAATCCCCAGTACCACACACAGATACACACACACACACACACAAGCCCTTTATGATTATTTAGCACTCACAAGACAAACTTTCTAAAGTTTCCTCCAAAAAACATACCTAAATACTAAGAGACAACAAAATGGAAGTGAGTGGAGATGCAGCAATGGAAGCATGAAAGAAGGGCTGTAACATACAGCTTATGATTCTATCTTACCTTGCTTATTCCCAGGTTTTCCAGGTGATATTATACTTAGGTTCCTGTTTTCTATGATAATAATAGTCTAGACTCAAAGAATCAAAAAGACTTTTTGAGCAACTTGTCTGGGTTCTTTACTCCCAAGTTCTGATGCTGCCTCTGCAGAGGCTACAACTTTGGAACCTATTATTGACTTTTTCTTCTCTCTACCAGTCCTTTGGGCAACAATTAAGGCCTGGCAGTCTTCCCAGACTGCTTTCTTACATAAGACACAGAGAATAAACTTCTGTCCCTTCCTTCTGCCCTTGATTCCTTTTTAGCAATGATGCTAAGAATAGAAGTGGCATGACAATGTAGATATGGAATTACGTGATATATTTATTTCAGTGAATTGATAAGATCATCAGTCTTCATATGCTCTCTACAGAAAGACCTGTTCCATTTCTATTGTGTTTACTAACTTGACTTCATGATTTCTTTGTGTTTCTATGCAGTAAATTTTCTCTCATCTGTACTTAGTCTCCCATTTTTGAGCAATTATTTTTCAATGCTGGGGATTGAACTAACTTTGCATTTTATAGATGAATATCCTACCACTGAGATACCCCCAGAACAGACACCTTGGTTAACTGATGCTTTTCTTTTTTCCTTCCACTCTATTACTTTGCTGCTATAATACTTATGAAACAGTAATCATATCCCAATTATAACTGTGTGTATGTTGCTAGGTACTGAACTTAGGGCCTCATTCATCCTAAGCAAGTACTCTATCACTGTGCTCCCTTCCAACCCCAATTATAATTTTACATACCAAGCTATCAATTTAATAATCATTTCTGGGGCTGGGGGTTTAGCTCAGTGGTTCTGCCACCTGCCTTGCAAGCGCAAGGACCCAAGTTTGATCCCCAGTACCAAAAAAAATATCATTTCTGAGTTGGGTGTAGCTCAGGGCTTGAGCCCTTGCATAGCATGTGCAAAGCCCTGTGTTACACATCTCTATCACCCCTCCATCCCTCAAAGTTGCTTCTTTCTTTCTTTCTTTCTTTTTTTTTTTTTTTTTTTTTTTTTTTTTGAGACAGGGTCTCACTATAGTTCAGGCTGGCTTTAAACATGTAGTACAGGTGTGTGCCACCGGGCCCAGAAAGTCATTTCTTTCATGGGATGCTGTCTCTGACTTAGACTTAGTTGCCTTATCCAGGAGCCCTTTTGACCACTGTAAAAAACACTGATATAAAACAAAAAACAAAAACAAAAAACCCCTGATCTTTTGTCCAAATGATTGATTGATTGATTATTTTGTGTGGTACTGGGAATTGAACCTAGGGTTTTCACACTAAACTGCATCCCTCGTCCTTTCTTTTTTGAGACAGGGTCTTGCTAAGTCACTGCTGAGTTGCCCAGGCTGGGCTTGAACTTCTGATTCTTCTGCCTCAGTATGCCAGGGTGCTGGGATTGCAGATGTATGCCACCACTCTTAGCTCATTTTAGTACATGGTACCTCTTGCCATGTTCTTTCCTTCCTTTTTTTGGTACTGGGGATTGAATCCAGGGCCTCATGCATCCCTCCTTCCCCCTTGACACAGCATTTCACTATATTTCCCAGGCTGGTGGGCTCACGTGAGCCTTCTGCCTCAGCCTCTTCAGTAGCTGGGTGAATGAACACACCACTAGGCATAGCATCACCATTTTCTAATATAATTTTAATTGTTTGGTCAACTCTTCAATGATTACTTTCTTTTGTTTTGTTTTTTGAGATAGGATCTCACTATGTAGTTTGGGCTGGCCTAGAACTTACTGTGTAGCTCAGGCTGGCCTTAACTTGCAGTGATCCACTTTCTTGTTACTTAGCTACTTCTGTTCTGATAGGCAAATAATCTTGTTTCCCCTGGATTTCAGAACACTGACACATCATTATTTCTAAGCAGGAAATGATCCATGACTACGAGTCATGGATTCCTTCTCACACTTAAGCCAGTTCTGGGGCTGGGGATTTAGCTGAGTGGTCCTGTCGCCTGCCTTGCAAGCACAAAGACCGGAGTTCAATCCCTGGTACACAAAAAAAAGCCAGTTCTATGTAACTCTGAACCAGGGCTCAGAAAATGTTTACTGCCAGCTAGTATATATGTTAGGCTTTTTGGACCAAGAGGAAAATCAAGGATATTCAGTGATTGTTTTTCCCTCTTATTGAGATGAGATCTTGCTGTGTTGCCCATGCTCACCTGGACTCTGGTCTACGTCACTCAGCCTCCCAAGCAGCTGGAATTGCAGAATTGCACCACCAACCACAGCTGGCTAAATCAAGGATATTATGTAGGTACTTGTGTAATGAAAAACTTCTATAAAATTTTATTGATTGATTCAAAATATAATGATGTATCACTAAATATACTAAAAAGAACAGTTTTGTTCTTTTCTTTTTTGTAGTGCTGGGGATCAAGCTTAGAGCCCCAGACTAACTAAGCAAGCACGCTGTCACTGAGTATATCTGTTTTGTTCCTTATGCGGAACCTCAACCTTCTAGAAAAAGAAGAGCAGGAGAACTCCAAAGCTTATACAAGGGAGGAAATTATAAAGACCAGAGAAGAAATCAGTGCAATAGAGGCTAAGAAGATGAAAAAAAAAAAAGGCAAAGAGTTGGTTCTTTGAAAGAATAAACAAAATTGGCAAACCCTTAGCCAACCCTATCAAAACGTGGTGGGGGAGGGGAAGACCCAAATCCATGGAATTAGGAATGAAAAGTGTGAAATTACAACAGACTCAGAAGAAATCCAGAGGATCATCAATACCTTCTTTGAGAACCAATATGCCAGTAAGATGGAAAACAGAAGAAATGGACAGATTTCTAGATATATATGAATTACCAAAGTTTAATGAAGAAGACTGAAAAATTTTAAACAACCCAATATCAATCAATGAAACTGAAAATGTAATGAAAGACTTACCACTGAAGAAAAGCCTGGGTTATGATGGTTTCACTGCCGAATTCTAGAAGATATTTAGAGAACTATTGCCACTACTGTTTAAACTCTTTGATAAAATCGAAAGGGAAGCAGTACTCCCAAATTCAATACTCCCAAGCATCACCATGATTTCAAAAGCAGAGAAAGACCCAACCAAAAAAGAGAATTATAGGCCAATCTCACTAAGGAACATAGATGCGAAAATTCTCAATAAGATACTGGCAAACAGAATGCAGAAGATCATTCAGAAGATCATACACCTAGACCAAGTGGGATTCATCCAAAGGATGCAGGGATGGTTCAGTACATACAAATCAATGAATGTAATACACAATATTAATATAGCTAAGGGAAAAAAACCCATATGGTAATCTCGATGCATAAAAAGTGATTGACAAAATCCAACACACATTCATGATAAAAACCCTACAGAAAATTGGAATAGATGATCTCTACCTCAACCTGATAAAAGCCATCTATGAAAAACTAACAGCCAATATTAAACTAAATGGTCAAAAACTGAAATCCTTCACATTAAAATTAGGAACAAAAGAAGGATATTCACTATCACCATTCCTATGCAATATAGTTTAGCCACAGCAGTTAGAAAAGAGAAAGAAAAAGAATAAAGATAGGAAACAAAGAAGTTAAATTGTCATTATGTGCAGATGACATTATACGCTACATAGAAGACCCCAAGAACTCCACCAAAAGTCTTCTAGACTTAATAACCAAATCCAATAGAGTAGCTGGATACAAAGTCAATGCACAAAAATCAATAGCTCACTGAAAGAGGAACTGAAGAAACAACGCCTTTCACAATAGCATCCAAAAAATTTAAATATCTACGAATCAACCTAATCAACAAAGTCAAAGAGCTCTACTCTGAAAACTATAGTATTCTGAAAATAGAGGTCAAAGAAGATATCAGAAAATGGAAACACATCCCTTTCTCCTGGGTAGGAAAACCAATATAGTAAAAATGACCATATGTCCAAAATTTCTAAGATTCAATGCAATACCAATTGAAACTCCAACAATATATTTTACAGAACTTGAAAAAACAATCCAAAAATTCATTTGGAACAAGAGACCTAGAATAGCAAAGGCAATTCTAGGCAAAAAAGACAAGGTAGAGGGTATCACAATCCCCAACTTGAAACTATATTACAAAGCTACTGTGATAAAAGCTGCATGGTACTGGCAAAGACACAGACCCTAGGGTCAACGAAACTGATTAGAAGATGCAGAAACAACTTCAGACACACTCAGCCACCTCATCTTTGACAAAGGAGCCAAACACCCTCACTGGAGGAAAGATAGCCTCTTTAATAAATGGTGCTGGAAGAACTGGGTTTCAGCTTGACAAAGATTAAAAGTTCGTCTATATCTCCATGCACGAAACTAAAATTGAAACAGATTAAAGATCTAGATATTAAAACAAATGCTAAACTGGCTGGAAAAGAGGTTAAGTAGATTCTTGAAGGCATTGGTTTAGAAAAGATTTCATGAACAAAACCTAAGTTGCACATCAGCTAGCACAAAGAACAAGTGGGATCTCTTATTAAAAAGCTTTTAGAAAAAAATGTGAGAGAATGAAAAGATGAAAATAAAGTGTTTGTAGATGGGGAGGGGAGGAGGGGGTGAAGGGAGGGCAGAGGTAAGGGGAAAAAATGAGAATCAAGACTTGCCATGTAAAGGTACATGATCCCAACAATGAATGTAACTGTACTGTATCCCTAAATGTACCAATAAACTCAATTAAAAAAAAAAAAAAGCTTTTGCATAGCAAGAGAAACCACCACAGCATGAAGAGACAATCCACAATGTGGGAAAATATTTTTACCAGCTGTTCCTCAGACAAAGGTTTACTATCTAGAATATATAAAGAACTTTAAAAAATCAGACCTCCCAAATTGAAAGACCCAACGCCCAAAATGGGCATCTGAAATGAAGAGACATTCTCAAGAAGTAGAAATAGCAAATAAACATACGGTCATTCAAGAGATGCAAATGAAAACAATGCTGAGATTCCACCTCACCCCAGAAAGAATGGCTGCTATCAAGAAATCAACCAGTAACAAATGCTGGTCGGGCTGTGGGGAGACAGGAACCCTTCTCCACCATTGGTGGGAGTGCAGACTGGTGCAACTGCTGTGGAAATCAGTATGGAGATGCCTCAAACAACTAGGATTAGAAGTTTTATTTGACCCAGCTATTCCTCTGTTGGTTATCTCCCAGAAAAATTTAAAAAAGCATACCACAGTGATATATGCACACCCATGTTCATTGTGACCCAGCTATTCCTCTGTGGGTTATCTCCCAGAAAAATTTAAAAAAGCATACCACATTGATATATGCACACCCATGTTCATTGTGACACAGTTTGTAATAGCTAAAACTTGGAAACAGCCCAATTGCCCTTCAACTGGAGACTGGACAAAGAAAACGTTTTTTGTTTTGTTTTGTTTGGTACCAGGGATCAAATTCCGGTCCTTGTGTTTACAAGGCAGGCGGTGGAACCACTGAGCTAAATCCCCAGCCTGAAAATGTGTGTTTTTAAAAATTAAAATGGAGTACTACTCAGCCATACAGAATGAGAAACTAGGGACATTTATAGCTAAATGGATGTACATTGAGGCCATACTCTTAAGTGAAATAAATAGGACACATGTGCAAATACAGAATAGTTTCTTTGGTGTGATAAACTGAAAGTGTAAATAAAGATCAAACTGTATGATAGATAATGTGAAATAGGAAGAAAAGGCCCAAAGGGGAAGGGGAAGTGGGAAGGGTAGGGGAAAGGAAAGATGTGAAAGGAATAAATATGAAAAGAGGAAAAAAAGGGAAAGAAAGTCTTTGTAAATAGGTAAGGGTGGAGAGGTTGAACAGAGGACAGGGGAATGGGGAAAACAATAAGAACCAAGATATATTATGTAAAGGTTCATATTCCCAGTAATGAATGCCAGCATATTGTGTACCTAAAATGTACCAATAAAGCTAATGGAAAAATTTTCTAGTTTGGTAACACAGTATAGATTGAAATATTTTCTTCAGACAAGTTCCATATGAATAATGAGTAACTGTAGGCACTGAATACTGATTATGGCTTGTGTTTGGATGTCCTCCCAAAGCCCCATGTAGGGCTTTTTCAGAGGTGGCTGTATCTAGAGTGTGTGACTGGTTCATGGTGCTGTGTTCGGATTAAGGATGTGTGATTACTAAATCAGTCCACTGATTAACCGGTTTGGCAACACCCTAATCCCAGTAGCCTAGACAGAGGATAAAAGGGCCAGAAAGATAACTGTTAAGGTCCCTTGTTGCTTTGCTACCATCAGTGTGCCATGAACTGTTGGCCCTCTGTCATGTGCCACTCTGCCTTGTAGTCAGCCGACTATGGACTGAAACCCCTACGAACTGTGAATAAACCTTTCCTCCTTTAACTTTGGCTATTGGGTATTTTGTCTCAGCAATGAGAAAAGTAACTAAGACAATACCTTACACTTTCTAGAACTTTATAAATTAGTTAAACTAAGACTTTCTACTTCAGGCATCTTTTTCACCAGTTGTGATACATATTAGCAGATTCCTTGCCAGTATGTGTGTTTGTGTGTGTGTGTGTGTGTGTGTGTGTGTGTATCCTAATCTTTTTCATTTATTTGTTTGTTTGTTTGTTTATGGTACAGGGGACCAAACTCAGGTCCTTGTGCTTGTGAGGCAGGCAGTGGAACCACTAAGCTCAATGCCCAGCCCAACAGGTAGTTTATATTGAATTAGTGTTTTTTTTCAACTTCTCTGGATATAGTTTTGCAGGTGTGTGGTACACACCTATAATCCTAGTACTCTGGGAAGCTGAGGCAGAAGAATTGCAAATTCAACCCTAGCCTGGGCAACTTAGACGTCCTTGTGCTTGTGAGGCAGGCAGTGGAACCACTAAGCTCAATGCCCAGCCCAACAGGTAGTTTATATTGAATTAGTGTTTTTTTTCAACTTCTCTGGATATAGTTTTGCAGGTGTGTGGTACACACCTATAATCCTAGTACTCTGGGAAGCTGAGGCAGAAGAATTGCAAATTCAACCCTAGCCTGGGCAACTTAGACATTATCTCAAATTTAAAAAAAGGGGGCCAGGTATGGTGGCACACACCTATAATCCTAACACTTGGGAGGCTGAGGCAGAAGGAGCACCATGAGTGTGAGGCCACCCTGGGCTACATAGTGAGTTTAAGGCCAGCCTGAATGACATAGTAAGACCTTATCTCAAAAAATATTATTGAATAAATAAAAGTGGTGGGGATATAGCTCAGTGAGAAGGCTCTGGGTTCAATTCCCAGTATATTATTTAAAAAAAAAACTTGTCTGTAGATACTCCAAGAGTTGAAGGTATAGCTTTTCTTTTCTTTCTTTTACTCTGAGAGAGTCTACAATACTAAATTGTGAAAGCTGAACTTAAACTTGTGATCCTCTTGCCCTAGCCTTCCAGAGTACTAGGATTACAGATGTGTGCCATCATGTCTAGCTCTTTGCTTTGTTTTTAAAGTGATCATTCATAGTCTTCCCTGTGTTCTTAGGTCTTTTTT